CTTCTCTGACAGTGGGAATTAGGTTCAAATTTCTATATCCTTTTCCTTCTACCTCCTTTTCCTTCTACCTAGAACTTGTCAGATAATCACACTTTTGGCACAGTTAGATTCCCAGAAAATGTTAGACAGTGAAACCTTAACATTGTCACTTTTGGGTGCTTTGAAAATTAGGTCATCTGACACAGAATGGTCTGATCCACATGTTCTGCCTCTTCAGGTATCTATCGTTAATTGATAACCCTTTGTTTCTCTTTTTATTTTTACTGAAACTATCTCAACAAGATTTCCATGCTCCAAATTGTGAATTTTTATGAAGGCATTTATTTATGAATAATGCAACACCTCATTCTTTTCTCTTGAGCCTTTGTGTGTGTGTCCATATTTTCATTATTTCTTACACCAGGGCTCAGAGATGCCGATGATATATTTGTGTTTTTTATTCATTTTCCAAATGAAACATTTGACATTATGAATGGAATTCTCTACTGGCTTTGTTATAGCATTTATTCATAGTCAGGTAAATGGCTTTAGATTACATTAAAGGCAAGGGCAAAGCAAAACTGAACAGAGAATGTCACTGAATGAGCAACAAGCAAAAATCAGCTGAGGAAGAGAGAAAAGAGGGAGAAAAAACTGGGACAGATAGGAACTGTTTGTTGATTGCAGTTGATCCCTGTTTCTAACTATTGCTAACTCCTTTTACTTTGGCATCACTTATTTAGAAAGATTTTGGCTTCTGGGATATCTTTTATGGTAAGATTCTCAATTAGAAAAGCTAATAAAAACACTACTTGTGTGCTCCCATTCCTTCATTTGCTTGCCAGGTTCTCACTGTCTTTGGAGATACATGTGAGGGCTCTATGGCAGTATCATTCATCTCCACTTGAATCAGAAGGAATGGATATTTAAAGGGATGGTTAGAAGAGTCTTGGCACTTTGTCATTGCATCCTGGATAACAGCACTTTGAAGACAACATGATATCATATGAGGTCTGTCTACTGTGGCCTTGGTTCCTTTCAGCAGAAAATCACCATGACCACAATACACCTATTTTTTCTTCAAAGTAGTTCTTGGGTCTCTTTGCCTCATAGAGGTCTAAGTGTCTTCTGTCCTGTTTGTTGAAGCTGGGGTTGGCAGGATTTCTCCAGGTGGCTCTGCATAATTATCATCATCATCATGTGTTTCTTGATCCTTGCACTTCTATGGATCATATACTTTCAATATGGCTTCCTCATGGTGTTTTTTGGTACTCCCCTTCTTTGCCTCTCCTGAGCAGCTTTCTTTATCCTGCCTAGGAACTTCTCACCCCCCCCCCTCATTTGTTGCAACGTAGAAACTGTCTCCTCATGCTCTTTGCCTTCTACTTCAATAATAATAAGCTTGCATGTTCAGTGGGTTTCACCTGGATTCACTTCAGGGAAGAGAGAGCAAATGCTGCTTATGCCTGGCAGAGCACCACAAAGCTTTCTTCACTGTCCAATTTACTCAGTGTCTCTCATGGACAAGTCACTATTTGCTTACTCATCTGGCTCTTTAGGGAGTGGGCTTTGTTATAGGTCTCTGGAAGCTGCTTCAATTAGGATAGCAGCAAGCAATACTCCACACACAGAGAGAGAGAGAGAGGGGGGGGGAGGGAGGGAGGGAGGGGGAGAGAGAGAGAGAGAGAGAGAGAGAGAGAGAGAGAGAGAGCAAACAGAAGCACCCTGGAATTAGCAGTACTCAGAAACAGCAACTGGAATCAATAAACAGCATGTTTTGAGAATGTAACCCTAGTCTTTGACCTGGTTAGGTATATGGTGGGAATCTAGTTCGCATTATATTTCTGAGCAGATATGGTAATAATCATGTCTGTGTGCTGAAACTATCAAACTAATTGAGACTGTACATCTTCTTTTAGAAGGCTGCTGATGCAAAGCTATTTTCAGTAGCTCTGCAGAAAAACAAGACTATTTAGTCCTTTTTTTCCTGGGGAACAGAACAATTCTTATGTTTGTTTATTCAAGGGTAAATTCAACTGATTTCAGTTATCTCAAGCAACAGCAAATAATACTATGCAGCCATATTTTAAATATTCCCTGAAGCATGAATTATTTGTTTCTATTTTTCAAAGATAATACAGGATTATTAGCCCTTATTTGACAGTATACTCTTACATCTATCAAATGGGATAGGTAAATTGAGCTACAGTGATTAGGCCAAAGCATTTTTTTATAAACAAGTTTTATTAGTTTTTTAATTTTTATATCAGAGTGCTCAAGAAACACTGTGGTGATGGGGTAATCAATCATCCAAAGACAAAATCATATATATATAACTCAAGTTAATTCATTAAATGCTCCCTCTCTATTTCCCTCAAATAGTATAACATATTTAGTTTAATCCATTTCTACATTACATCTAGGTAAATCCAAATCCTGTTTTTAAGCTTTACTAATTTGCAATTACCATAATCCAATTTAATCTTGAATAAACATATTATTAACACTTCAGGTGTCCCTTCTACAATAGACATAATATTCCGACAGTAACATTCTAACATTTCCAGATATATTCTATTTCTTAGTCTAATAGATCATTGATTAGTACCAATTCTTCTCTTATCACAAATCTCTTATTTCTTCTTCCACTACAAAATAGTTATCCTACTTAAAATAAAAATATTATTCTACTCTATTTTAGATATATAATCTATCAGTCAATCTATTTCTATAAAAAAATCATTTCAGCCCATCCAAATAATTATCATATCTAAAACAAGCATACACAAAATATCATCTTGCTAACTTCAGATGCTCAGTCTATCACAGGGGTTAGGTAAATTGAGCTACAGTGATTAGGCCAAAGCATTTTAGTTGAGCGGGGATTTGAATTCCCAGTCTTTTTTATTCAAATCCAGCACACTGACATCACACGAAGACAAAGACACTAAGTAATAATCAGTAGTAAATTAATTGTCTGGAATGTGAAATCTACTTCCTTTATCCTTTTATCTCTTGCACTTGCCTGTTGGTCTATTTTAATTGCAGTGTGATAATCCTATTTGTTTGAAAGAGCTTAAAACTGATTTAATGGCAAAATGAGGCATAATGAACTTAATTATCAAAAATCATTGTTATTACTTTTGATTGCTTAAAAACAATTCTTTCAACTCACAGTGTGTGAGTACCACCTATTTAAATTTCCCTGCCAACAGCATTCTCAAAGGAATGTCGAACTTGGCAAGATGGCAGCAGGAATGCTATAATGAAACCCCGCCCCTTTGGAACTTCTACTGACATCGCAGATCTGCTTTAAAAAAGCTGGGGCTTGTACCTTGGATGTCATTTGCCAATTATGACTCCCCACTTCTGTTTCAACATTGCTGCTATCAGCCAAAGTTACCTATGGGGACCTCAGGTGAGAAATCATCTCTTTAATACCCACCTCAAAGCTAAACCTATTAAAGTTACCCAGAAGTTAGGATAAAGTTTATGAATTAATTTAGACCTCTATGTGTTCAAACCGGTCAGTCCTAGAAGAGATCAACCCCGATTGCTCTTTAGAAGGCCAGATCCTGAAGTTGCAACTCAAATACTTTAGTCACCTAATGAGAAGGAAGGACTCACTGGAGAAGGGCCTAATGCTGGGAAAGATTGAGGGCAATAGAAGAAGGGGACAAGAGAATGAAGTGGCTGGATGGAGTCACTGAAGCAGTAGGCGTGAGTTTAAATGGACTCCAGAAGATGGTAGAGGACAGGAAGACCTGGAGGAACGTTGTCCATGGGGTCACGATGGGTTGGATACGACTTCGCAATTAACAACAACAACAAAGTCCCCAGCATCATTTCCTCAAATAATAATGTCTTGAAAGGTTAAATCACTACCATTTTGCCTTGTTATTTGCCCTGTTCTGCTGCAGAATTTGACTATATTGAGTACACAGGATTTTCATAGCAAAATAAATGGAAAAACAGCAGGTGTTTTCTAAATGAGAATGGCAAACACTCTCCCCAAAGTTGTGCCCCCAGAAAAGTTGGCCTTACGGTGTTACCAGTTCAACATATTGGGGGAAGGAGGAAGGATATATATTTATAGTATGCTACTATATATTTTGTAGTTATGATTGTATGGTTTTAATTTTTTTCCCTTCCATTTTAATTTGCCACCCAGATGCATTTACTGAGTTATGCAGCTATGTAAATTGACCCAAATAAATAAACCCATAAATGAATCAATAAATAACCCATGACAGATAGGATGCTATATTTTCAATCTGTCAACCTGGGGAAGTTGGGTTGTTTCATATTTCTAGGCCAATACAATTGCTCACTTTTTCTTAGCAAACAAACTTAGGCTAACATAGTCCCAAACATACCCGTGGAATAACCTTTTTCTTAAAAAAAAAAAATTACACATCAGAAGACAGCCCCTTCTATCAGATTTTGAACTTAATTTATATCCTGCTTTTATTATTTTTACAAGTAACTCAAGGCAGCCAATCTATCCAACACACCTTCTCCTATTTTCCCTGCAACAAGAATCTGTGAGGTAGGTTGGGCTGAGAGAGAGTGACTGGCCCAAGGTCACTCAGTTGGCTTTCATGGCTAAGGCAGGATTTGAACTCAGGGTCTCTCTAGCCTGGTGCCTTAATCACCAGACCAAACTAGCTCTTGGTCCTACTTCATAAATTAGCAGACGCATCTGCTGTATACACAGCTTCCTAGCCAGGGCAATCATCTTCAGCCAATATTGGATAGCTACAGGTACTGCATGCTACATTTGTTTGCAGTATCCATGCTTTAATTTTAACTTTAAACTGCCATTTGCATCGATGAAATATCTCCACCTAATCTGGGGCTTTTCAACAGTTTCCCTTTCTGTTTATATTACCATAATATGTCGAGAATTCTAGAGATGTAAAAAAAATCCCTTATTATTGTGTTATTTTGCATGGCCCTAACAAACATTATTACTCAATTATCCATGTGGGATGTATATTTTTCATAATGTATGGCTACCACTATTATTTGTAACTGAGGTGTGAAACATCTGCAAGGTAAATTTATAACTTATGCGATCTGTGAAGTGGCCCTTGGGGAATTTGAGAGGTTAAGGGCCAGTGATTTTATTTTGGCCTCTGATAGAAAAGAAACCCCTGCAACACTCACCTCAGATCCCCCAATATCTCTAGAGATTTACCCTCTGTTTCCCTGGGGCTGTCTGATGTTTACTGTTGCTAGCAACCATGCAGTTCCCTAGCAACTGTTGTCATGATTCAAGCAACCAGGGCAAGTGTTAAAAGCACAAAGAGATAAAAATCACTTGAGGAAAAGCATGCAGGACCGTTAAGAGACCGTTTATTTCCCACAGACGGGTGGGGGGGGGGGGAGAGGAGAGAACTGGATGAGGCTTAAGAACAAGAATTGATTTTTTTTTTTATACCACAATTTCTTTTGTATTTGGGCAACAAACCAAGCAGGGTGAAGTGTGCTACCTATTTCTTATTGTTGTTTCAAGCCAAATCTGATTCCTTTTTTTTTTTTTTTTACAGAAAATTAACCGTTAATACTTAGTGTTCAATAGGAAACCAAGGAGAGGAATGTTGACTTGTTAAGTACCAATGCCAGCATTATGCAGGAATTATCTGTTTGCTAGATATGAGCAGGTAACCAACAACAGTTATTGGAAGCTACTAAACTATATTCCTCTTGACATGGTAATAATACAGAGAGTTGCAGACATTGGAGAAGTGAGGTGGTGTTTAGACTGAATTTCTCATTTTTATTGACTTATCAGGTCCTTCCCAAGTACCTGGATAGGCAGATGTTGTTTGATGGTATTAAAGGTATCACTATAGGATGTATTGTAAGCTGTTCCAAGTAAAACTGCCCTTATAGTTAACTGATGGTGATTTTTGTCAATGTCAATGGTGTTCAAGTGGTGTTCGAGATGTTTTGGGATGGCACCCAGCAGCCTATTACTATTGGTACTACCTTTGCTTTTTTTTTTTGCCACAGTCAGTCTAATTCTATTTGCTGATCTTTGTGATTTTTCTCTTCTCTTCTGTCTCCAGTTACTTCAACATACACTATCTAGACTTTGTGTTTCTTATTGACAACTGTGAAGTCTGGGGTGTTATGTGGCACTTCTATTTTATCCTGTATTCCTTAATATTTGTGTTAGTTGAGATGTTTGGAACAGATATCTGTAGGTGCAATAGAATGCTCCATGTGTTGTGGAAAGAGTTTGAACAGAGGTGCAGAACATTTAGAGCAGGCATGTCAAACTGCCGGCCCACGGGCCGGATCGTCACGCCAAAACTGCACTCACCCCATTGCCGGCAATGAGGAAAAAGTTGTGATATGTTGCATGACGTCATGTGACGTCGCGAGTTTGACATGCCTGATTTAGAGTAACATTTGCAATCTGTCCACTCTCTTAGTGAGTAGTTTTCAACTCCCAAAATTTGCCAGTCACCATGGTTATTATTAAGAATTTTGGGAATTAAAGGAGAAACATCTTCTAGAAGGTATACAAGCTAGAGAATTCTGGTTCCAGAATGTTTCCAGAGTAGTTAAGAGCATGCTGCAGATACCTATTTTCAATCCATGTGAACACAGGAAGAATTTTTTTTTACTTTCAGTGTTAAGCCATGTCACCTTATATGTACTGTGTGCATGATTCATAGTATCCTTTATAGTTTGGCAGCACCTGGAAAGAGACAACAATTAGAGTAGCTAATATTGCAAGCATGGACACATCTGCCCTCAACCATCAGTACCTAATTGAGCACAACCTCCCTGCCGTACTAACATGTCTTTGAGAGGTCACATAATGCCCATAGCTGAGACTTGTGCCAGTTAAGGACGGTAAGGCACCCAACAGGAAAAGCTGCTGTCCTATAGCAAGAACCCTGTGATCCCAGATACATTTGCACCAGATTAAGTTAGAGGTGGCTCAGCCTAAGAAAACCACATGACAATATCTGGTGATCTTATTTCAGAGGTGAAATTCAAACCAGAGACTTCCTGATTAGTGACTCAGTTTTTCAGTCACACCTGCTCCTAAAAGCATAAGAACAGCAGAACAACAACCTAATTACTTTGGCTTGGGATGTATTCATGCGACAACTGATCCATATCGTGCCTGGGATCTCTTCTACAACTTACAAAAACAAAACAAAACCCCACCCTCCAATACAAAACAAAAGAAGAGTGATGCCAAACAGATCAGTTCCTTAAGAAGGTACAGTATCTTCCTCCTGGCCCTATCAATTTAATTGTCAAGGACCTGTAAATTTTCATTTTCTTCTCAGCAATTTATGGGCAAGTGGGGAAGCATTTGTTGTAAACCACAGCAAACAGAAGCTTAGGAGCTTTTTCTCCTCCCCCACTAACCACATCTGCTCTTAGTTCACCCTTCATTAATATTCATTAGCATAATGCTGTTTAGACAATAGATATCAAATAAGCTCATTCAGTGAAATCCAGCTGGCTTTCCATCCTTTATTACAGCAAATCATGGATTATGGATCTTCCTCTGGTCTTAATGTGTGAGGCTATGATTGTTGGCTGTAGTCTAAATATTACAAGATAAATATTACAGGATAAATTGTCCTCCCCATTGGAAAGAAAAGGCATATTTCCCTACTGAGACTTCAGTATCCTATTGTTCCCAGGTAAAGTGCCATTATCTTATATCAAAATGATTAGAAATGATTAGAGAAATAGCAAAAAAAAAAATCAACAGAAGTGGCTAATTCATATTTTCTGTTAATGAGCACATTGGTTAATTTTTCTCAGCTTTGGTGCAGCATTAAGATACTGTATTGATTTCATTGTGCATTCTGCAGTATAACCTTTTTGTTGGCTGAAACTATCAGGATGAATTAAATGTATGCAAAATTGCTCTGCCGTACTAGAGCTGGGTGGTGGTGTCTTGAGCTGTGTCTTGGTGTATATTGTCTGCCCAATCTCCTTCAGCAGCAATGTTGTTCAGCATCAGCTGTTGCCTTTTGCATTGTTGTGACATTTTCTTCTTTTGTTTTTTCACCTATCCAAATGTACACTTCAAAGTGGCATCAGATTTCCCAGTAGGGCTGAAATTCTGAAACCACTCTCTGTTAAATTCATATTCCAGACAGATCCAGCCATCCTCCTGGATAGTGCTCAATATTACATGAACATCTACCTCAGGAGCTATGGGATTTCTTACTTCAGATACTATTTCTTGAAAACCATCTGTACATTAAAACAAAGAGCACACTGATTAAGGCTTATCCAAATGTTATCCAGGACATAAATTAGATTATTAAATCTGACTCAATCTCTCTTTTTATTATTATAAAGCTACGTAGTGTTTTTGAATAGAATCAATCTAATCTGACTACAGTTATATGTATCCTGGTTATATTGCATTTAAAATACTGCAAAGGTTTCTATGCCGGGCAAATTTTGGAAAGTGTTGGTAAGTTTTAGCAGTAGAAATTGACTAATTACATATCAAGATCATATTATACCCCTGTGGAAAAATCTGTACTAGTTCCTGAATGGTTTCTAGTCCAATTCAAAATATCCGTTTTAATATTTAAATCTTTAAACTGCTGAAGGCGTGAAAACTGAAGGATTGCTGATTTAGAGTGAATTTGTCTGAATAAAAATGTTGACAGGAGATACTTTAAAATACCTCCAGGTTTAAAGGCTTGTTTACAAACCACCTAGGGATCCATCTTCTGCATCGTTTCGAAACTGTAGAACTTATTTCCTTATGCCTTGCAAACAGCATCTCATTTTATCCCTTAAATGCCCGCAAACCATCCCTTAAAATGGCTCCCAGCTCCATTCATTTTTGGAATTTAGTTTTCGATACGCGGTGCAGTGTAATGTGCCTTATGAACCACAGAAAGGGCATAAACTATGGTTTATTGGTCACAGTGGTTGAGTCCACATCACACACCAAAGCAAGTCAAGCTACTTTATGACTCAGTGTAGAACAAAACTAAGCTTGTTTCAGATATGCTACCCCTTATTCTTGGCTATTGTTTTTGATGTAGATGATCACAAATTCCTCAACAAATGGACAGATGAAAGACTGAAATTCAAAGGAAGAGAAAGAAAGAAATAGATAGGATAGAGAAAGGAAGGAAAGAGAAGAAGGAGAGAAAGAAAGAGAAGAAGGAAGAAAGAAAAGAAGTCCATTTCAGTCTTTTATGGTTAGGATTGGTGGGTACCTTCCTTTTCTCACTTAGCTAATTTACTAAAATGTAATCCAATCAATTAGGCAGGGCTGAAAGACAACTGTGGAGTTTGCATCCATGGTAGCACCATGGGAAAAACCACATTTGTAATAGGAAAACCTCCTAGACACAACAGAAACCTCCTTGTGCTTCAGCTGTCTGCTGTGCTGTAACAGGCATGTTTCTGTGTGCTGATCCTAATAACATCAAGCCTTTTGCATCCTCTGAAATATGCATGAGATAGCCACAGCGCACAGGTTTGTCAGCACCATATTTCTAACTGAAGAGGGAGTTGCAGAAAGGAGCGACCATGGGTATGAATGTGTGACTCCAGTTAGGCCAGGGGTGAGACATATGGAAACCTCTAGATCAGGGGTGTCAAACTTGATCACATCATGTGATGTATTAAGGTGTATTGTGATGTTTTTTGCCTTTGCAGAGCCAGGTGGGCGTGGCCACGTGACACATCCAGCCCACAGGCCACCAGTTTGACCCCCCCCCCCGCTCTAGATGTTGTATTCCAATGCCTATGAACCTAACCAACAGGGATAATGATAGTGATAGGCTCCACAGCTTTAAATAAAGGCTAAAATGAGAACTCAAGAAACAGTGTACAGCTTGGATTTTATCCTGTTAAAAATCTGGGTGTGGCCAAGAAACTTACAGCCCTGGAATAACTTAACTATACCTGATTTGCAATTATGAGTATTTACTCTCAGTCAACATTTGAATATTTTTCCTGAGAGGAAAGCAAGGTAAGTTTCAATTACCTAGAGACACCAGAAACTGTCTTTCCTTGGATTCCTTCCCTGCCTTTCCTATTCAAGAGGAGGGCAGCCAGCTATTTATCTGGAACAATTTAGATTCCTATAGTGAGTAAAGAGTTGACTTTAATAACTTTAATGGCCACTTCTAACTACTGTGATCTGGTCAGATTTTGAGATTTTTGCTTTGGGAATTCTGAGAATAATTTTCTAGAACATTCTTTTTTCACTGATGTGTTATACATAAATATTGTAAATTACTATTTCTATTTGTAATTTAATAAAGTTGACATGTGTACTTGGTTATTTCAAGTTATCAACTAAAAATAAAGCAATTACAGATACTTCATTCTGTAATGCACCTTATGGAGATGGCAATCAGTAATGAATAGATCAATGAATTCTGTGTGGACAACTGAGTGGACAGCTTGTATTCATTTCTACCCAGGCAAATGACCAACATACTTGCCCAAGAATGATAACTGACAAATATCGCTGTTTAATTTGTCATGTAAGACCCACGATTATCATACTCTTACTTTCTCAGAGAAGTTTGCTATAAGCAAACCTATAAACCATAATTAGTTGGTTGGTTCAGGCCAAAGGTGGTATGTAATGTGGTTATCAGAATTAATAAGCAAAGAGAGCAATCAGCAATGGCGTTTGCTAACTAACACTATTCAAGGGCAGGATCCAATGATCATGAGCAGACAAACTCTTTACAACTAGAAGACTATGTGTGGACCCAGCTAATGAGAGTGAATTCTGGGCAGAGAAAGAAAAACCAAGGGATTATTGTTGTGAGCGTTCAGTGTCACTGAACACTCAGGCAGCATGTAAATTTAATAAATTTATACACAATCTGCACACATTAATGTTTTAGTCTGGGATGACCTCAGAATCTTACAAGAATTAAATATTTCAGTTTTTGCACAACAGATGCTATACATCTCAAAAACCCACTTTAATCTATCTGAATTCATTTGCCAGCATTGGATGATTTTTCACAGCAATTTACATAAAAATCTAAGTGCTTTGAGTCAAAGGCAAGATGGTCCCAATGTCATTTTTGCCAGGTGTTTACTTCTAGTTTCTGGCAAAAAACAAAACAGAAACCGCCTCATAGTGAACAATGGGTTTGTTTTACAACTGACATATTTGCTTAATGACTCCTGCAAAAAAGGTTATAAAACCAGGTGAGGTCACAGTGACCTGCTTAACAATCAACACAATTCACAACCAAAATTGCAGGCTCAATTATGGTCATAAGCAGTGGTGGGATTCATATATGTGAACAACTGGTTCTGTGTGGATGCCGCTTCCGGAAGTCCATTCTGGGCCTGGGCAACAAAAAAACCAGCTAACGGTTCTGCCGAACTGATGCAAACCGGCTGAATCCCACCACCGGTCCAAGTCAAGGACTGGCTGAATTCAGATCCTAGTATAGATAATTGTATGGCGGTCAGGTGCCTGGATTGTTCTCTTCACTGCATCCATGGCAGTTAATTGTTTGGTGGAAAGAAACGTCTCTCTTCATCGGTCTCAAAAGCAAAATTCAAGTAACACACTGCTCTATCTGAGAGGTGCATGGATGAGTAACAGATGTGAGCAGACTCACAATTGCAGCCATATGAAAAGCACCAGGGTTTTAAAATTGTATTTTAGCATCTGAAATGGTCTCTTTATATTTTAAATTGCATTCAACTAGTTTAGGGTTATTTTTATTTTTTTCCTCAAAACGGTGAAGAAGCTAATTCTTAGCAATACTTCAGGATTTGCCGGAGTACAAAAGAAATGGAGAAGCAGCAGCATGAACGGACAGGCTTATTCAGACGCGGGTCCCGCCCTCTTTCAAGGCAGCCACCGAGCTTCATGAAAGGCTAGTAGGGCTCCTAGCCCAAAGATTGCTCCCATCAGTCAGCCGCAAAGAGGTTCAAAGGACCGTTTATTATTTTGGGCCATGGACAAAACAGATCAAAACGCCATTTTCCTCTTAACTGCAAAGAAAGAGTGGCCATCGAAAGCCATTTCCTAAAACTGCTTTCGGGGTGCATGCGGGAGGCAAGACGCGCAGTGCCGAATTAACTGAGCGATTCTCTCATTCACCTCCTTCCCTTGCGGGTCTTTCCTCGAAACGGCATTTCTAAATGGCAGACCCAAAAGGGGTCTGAACGCGCGTTTTTCCAACCCAACGAAGGGACGAGTCAGTCTGCAGCGAAGGGAGCCATTTCCTCGCAGCATTCACGCACGCTATTAATCCGCAGCGATGCCACCGCCAGGCCCTTCTCGGAAATCGAGCAGCTGCCTGATTTAGGGGCGTCTCCGCTGCGGCTCTTTTTCTCACCCGGGGCCCTGCTCGCGAGCGCCCTCTTCCCGCGCGCTGGCGAGAAGCAGGGCGTCGGCTGCTCGGCGACTTCCGGGGGCGGCAGCCGGCAAAAGCCTCGCCACGAATGCAGAGAAGGCGGCGCGCCCCCTTCGCCCACTGCAGACGAGTCGGGTTTTGCAGACATCTGCAGAACGGGGGGAGGGCGGGAGCGAGGGAAGAAAGGAAGGGGGAAGGGAGGCGACTGCATTGCGGCAAAGCCTGGAATTTAGAAACGAGGAAACGGCGAGCGGAAACGGCATCTTCTCTCTTGCACATGCTCTGTATGCGGCCAAGTAGGGTTCTCTTCTATACGGCTCCGTTTTCAATCATTTAAGGTCCTCTGCTTGCATTTAGGAACAAGCATCGGAGGCTCAACCTGTTTACTTCGTTTTCTCGCTGGAGTAAATGACACAGGGCAAACGAAGGTCCAGCGGGAAAAGCCTCTCCCTGCCAAATTTTGGGCAAATGGGAGTGGAACAAGTGTTGCCGCTGCTAGATCGTGCCGAGTTGCGTTTGTGTAGTAAAAAGAGAAAATCGGGGGGGGGGGGACGTCGCTTGTTTTGGGGATGTTGCAAGGCGTGTCAACTCCATCGCTCTTTGTATTGAATAGACGGCGCAGACAATACAACTCTAGGATTTGTCCTAGGCCAGGCTTAGCTTCTATTTTCTTCAATAACTGGTTGTACATTTTATATTCTGTACGGCAGAAAGACTGCGGGGAAATATTAACGATTGTGGGAGATGCTTGCTTCTTAAATTTCCAAAATCTGCCTGAAAAACAAGGTGTACTGAAGGCAGTTTAAAATACATGAAAATCTCAACGTAAGATTTTTTTGTACTAATAATTAAAATATATGCTAGTTAAAAATAGATAAGTAAAAAGAGCAGACAAAATAATTACAAAATGCCCATGCCACATACATTTTTAAGACTAACACAGAGAAAATAAAAATGCCTTTATATTAGGCTGACCCTCAGAAAATATGGCCTTTATAGGCTAGAATTGGGACTCAAACTGGTAAATTGACATGAAACTGGCAGAAGCAAGTGGACATAATGGCTAAAGTGTCAAACTAGGATCAGGGAGACCCAGATTCTGGTGCTCCCTCAGCCTAGAACAGGGGTCTTCAAACTTGGCCCTTTTATGACTTGTGGACTTCAACTCCCAGAATTCCTGAGCCAGCCATGCTGAGGGGAAAGGGAGAGGTTTCCAAGCTGAGCCATGCTGGCTCAGGAATTCTGGGAGTTGATGTCCACGAGTCATAAAAGAGCCAAGGTTGTCTACCCCTGGCCTAGGCCAACTGGTTCCAATATCTCAATCATCGCTGGAACAGCTTGAACAAAATCTGGTGCTCCCTCAGCCTAGAATAGGGGTCTTCAAACTTGGCCCTTTTATGACTTGTGGATTTCAACTCCCAGAATTCCTGAGCCAGCTGTGCTGGCTCAGGAATTCTGGGAGTTGAAGTCCACAAGTCATAAAAGGGCCAAGTTTGAAGACCCCTGGCCTAGAACTATGTTTCTCTTCCTTGGTAACTTTAAAATGTGTGGACCTCAACTCCTAGAATCCCCCAGCCTGCATTGCTCCCATAGAATGTTGGGAGTGGAAGCACACACACATATTAAAAGTTGCTAAGGATGAAAAACACTGGCCTACCGTTGAAGCTCTGTTCTGCTACTCCCTGACCTTGATTGTCTGCAGATGTTTCATTGCCCAATTAGGTAACATCATCAAAGTGAGATACTGCCTAGTTGGCTAGTGAGATGTACTAATTATATTATCTAGTGACAATCACTTGTCTGAGATGGTAGTTGGACAATGTAACATCTCCAGGCAAACAATCAAGTTCAGGGAGCAGAAGGAACTCCATAGTTCAACCTTGAGCTACAAATATTTTCTTGTATTAGTTTTTTTTTTCTCAGCCAACCTTACCTGGAGGGCATGGGGCAGACATGTCAAACTCGTGACGTCACATGACATCGTGCAACTTTTTCCCCATTGCCGGCAATGGGGTGGGCACGGTTTCCTCGTGACACATCTGGCCCACGGGCCAGCAGTTTGACACCCCTGGCATGGGGTAAAAAGTAGGAAGTGGAAATAACACCTATGCTACGTATAGAAAAGATCTGATAGAAGCTCCTACAGAAAAGGTAGGTGGTGGGTTCCGGTTTGTGGCGGTGCGGTCGAGCGAAGGGAGTCGTCCCTTCGCCGATCAAGTTTCCCCTGCCGGCAGACTCCTTAGAGTGTCGAAAAGACGCTCTGGAGGAGCGTCTTCCGTTGAGGCTCTCGGATACTTGCAGAGGAGCAGCGGCGTCCTCTGTGCACCGAGTATCTCCTTTGGGCCGACGGTAAAGATCGGCCAGTAAAATGGCCGATCATTTAGCTGCGCCAACCGCAAGCCACAAGATCAACTAAGCAAACGGACCCACCATGGAGAACTCGGTGAGACTTTCCTTTTACCTCTATTTTCTTTATG